AATAATTGGTATTCATAATGAATGTGTTTTTTCCTTGACATAAGTAACAACCTTTGATAGTGTTTAGAAGAATCATGTTTTACTGAAATTTATAAGATTTTATCTTATTAGCGAAAAATATTATATCGTTTACAAGTCTTCTAAATTGAGACTACTTTTTTGATAAAATGTGATCTCATTTTGGAAATCTTAATTGACATGAAACAAACGTCAGAGGGGCGGGAAGCAAAGTGATAGTCAGTGTAAAAAATAGCGATCTCAATTACGAAGTAACCATCTTTTGTTAGAGCAACATATCGGGAAAAATGTGTTTTGATTACTAAATAAATTAGTAGACAGACAACAAAAAGAATATAAAGCCAATATATACAGGAGAAATATATATATCATAAGAAATATGAAAAGAACAGAAGTTTAATTTAATTTCTTTTAGTTTCTTTTGATCTTCTTAGATCATTAAATGGTTTTATCAACTTTCTTTTATAATTATAAATAAATATTTTTCCATCGTAATAAATATTATTTATTTATTTCCAAATGTTTCGATTGACTAGCTCAATTTTCATCAGTGGATCTAAATAATTAATGAAATTAAAATTCACAAATTGAACAAAATTTCCTTTTTTTTAATAATATATAGGAACTTCTGACATACATACGGTAGACGATAAAAACTGTATCATGCATGAAAGAGCATCGTTTACTTTTTATATTCGCTTTTTCTTCTTCTTTTCTTTAATAATCTAGAAAATTCTTGCTTGTACAAGTTACAAAATTTAAAAGAAAAAGAATAAGGGAGAAAGGGAACCAAACATGTAGAAGATTTATATGTTTACTATAATGTTTATCAAAATCGATGGAGGAAAACTCTAAAAAGTCAAGGGTTGAAGTTGCCGTCATAGTACAGATTTTGTCATCTACCGTATATATGTCAGGAGTTCCTATATATTATTAAAAAAAGGAAACTTTGTTCAATTTGTGGATTTTAATTTCATTAATTATTTAAATCCACTGATGAGGATTGAGCTAGTCAATCGAAACATTTGGAAATAAATAAATAATGTTTATTACGAAGGAAAATTTTTTATCTATAATTATAAAAGAAAGTTGATAAAACCATTTAATGATCTAAGATCACCTAGAAAGTTATCATGGAGAACTAAATGCACGCGTGCGAACGAATATGGATTTCTGAACATGGATTAATGAAGTTCGTTCATTTGATGAATGTACTATGGATCGTTATGAACAAGAACAAGCTCAAAAACGTACAACAAGATCAAGAAAAATAAAAAACATACGTGATGATGACAAATTTAAATTAGTAAAAACAAAATATATCCAAGATAAAGACTTTGATAGTTATCAAAAAGTTTTAAAAATTCTTTCTGATCGGTATATAGACGTTATAAAAGCTGTCCGAGATAGTAGTGAGGAAGACTAAATTTTTTGTTGATATGGCTTTTCTTAATATATACTCAACAATTCTTATTATATATGTTTCTACTTCTATTATACTCTATTGTTTCTAGAAAGCGACCAATTGCTATATTTCAAATTACGATTGTTGATCACTTATTAATTAAAAAGTGGCCGCTTTTTAGCCACGCAGAATATGTAAATTTACTCAAATTTGGGTCGCATTTAGCAAGCTACGAAACTTTTATATTTACCATGTACTCTCTTACAAGACGCAATAGATGATCTGAGTTAAAATGCAGAGTCGAAAAGGATTCTCTATCATACGTTCCTCCAGATTAAAAATGTAGTGTTTTTAATACGGCTAGGACTGGCTTAAAACCGTCCTTCCATAATCATTTTTCCACTTTAACTTTTTTGATTTCTCAAGACTTCTTGCAGCGCTTTGATTTCAACTTAACATTGGACACTCCTAATTATGGAAATAAGTGAACAACTAATTAGGTTTTTTAATACAATCTATTTAAAGACAGCAATTTTTACACAGTTTTTTTAGAATAAGATGTGTTCATAACCAGGTTCTTATTGAAAAAATGAAATGTGTAGTGGTCTTTTATCAATTAAAAATAAAATTTATAACGAAATGTTGTCCTCTTACCGATGAAAGATGTAACTAAGGTAAGATTGAGATAAACTGGGAGCAAATCACTATAATCAACGTAATTTACGTCACTTTTTGCGTTGACTGTAGTGATTTGCTTCCAGACTTTGCTTCCAGCTTATCCCGACCCTAAATCAATGAGACATTTTTCAACTTGAAACACAACACTATACGAATGTGAAAGGCATCTTATTTTGTAGAACAAAGATTACTCGATCGGACCACAGTCGTTCTCGATTTTTAAAGTCCGTTTCAATTTTGAAAATGAGAGTGTTTTCTCAAAAGCTATGAATAGTCCGTTAAGAAAATGATAGAACGTCAAAAATGAGAACATATGCAGCTTTCAACACTCTTTCTAGATTGTGGTAAAATTAGTTTGTTTCATGTTTAACTTATAGGAATTCAAAATTTTCATTTCTAAAATCTGAATGAAGATAGTTTTTCGATGTCAGTTTTATTTCGAAACGATAGAAACTATATTCTCTTTCAAATTTGACTTACGAACTGCTTATATTAAAATCAAAATATTTAACTCGGAAATGTGGTAAAAATGTATCCAAACCTTCCCTCTACTTTATACAATGATACCTTCTTCTACATATTACGCTAAAATTCTACGACGGTGTTCTAGAAACAGTTACAGACATTTCATTGTCAAGCGTAAAACAATGGGCATTCTCAGCTCTAACGGTGAGCAGAGGTAATACAATGTTTTGGCCTGGAATCAAGTCGTGAATCTATCTATATATCACAATTGCCTACATGAATATGGCGTCAACACTCATTGATATTTGTTCAACTATACTGGCACTCAAGTCCTACACGGAGAAACTTTTTTAAATATAATATACCATGCTTACGATGAAGAAGAAATAGAGCGTAGTAAAAATTTCTGTGTAAATGACGTATGAAACAGTAATAGTAATAATAATAATAATAATAATATTTTGTACAGTGAACTGAATCTCGAGCGGTTCTCTTTTACATCTATGTTTTTGAATTATATTTCATTATTCATTATTCATTATTCATTATTATGTTATGTTTCATATTAGTCTAAGAAAATCTCGTTTCTTTCGCTTTCGTCTAATGAAAAGATCTTTATTCTGCCTGATCGCTATTACATATATCATAATAAATTACCTTTGTCAAATTATATCCTTCTCAAAGTTTCATTATTTGTTTGAACATGTTTATTGAATAATAAGATCCCTAGAAAGGACAATGGATTCTTTTTTCTTTTCTCTATAACAAATATGTTTTTTCATCATTTATCTAGAATGTAAGTGCTAATAGATTATATTCAAAGACAACGTATAATTATTAATGATTCAACAGAAAAGGGAATATAAAGAGATAGATTTTTTTTCCAATCTGATAACGACAAAAAAGTTTTTTTTATGACTTTATAGCAATGTTGCCTTTATGAACAAACTGTCAATTATTATAAACTATAACACTTCAATTTATTAATTATTCAGACATATACAATGCCGATTGATGAATAAATAAGAAAAAATTTCCTCAATTTTTTTCTGACCAAATACTATACAGTAGACAAAAAATGTGATTACTATTTTACCATTTTGATAGTATTTTTTTTCTTGTTATAGCTTGTAGAAAAAAAAGGTCTATAGGAGTACAATTACTGAAAACTACATTGTCTAAAATGCAACCCATAACGCCAATTTCTACATGATGTTATAAACAACATCACTCTCTGTACGGTTTATCATAAGCTACTTAGACAATGAATCAAAATTGAATAATTTTCAAGGTTAATACGTCTTCATATACACTAATGCTCGACGAATACAAGTAGACCAATTAGTTAAAAATGAAACGTTCATTAATGCTATGTGATCTTTGTTTTCCCACACGCTAATCACGCATACCAATAAATTCACTATGTTTATTATGTTGATTTATTCTGTATCCTATTTATTATTATTTCGTATTTTATTGTGTCATGTTCTGAGACACTTATCTCTACATTGAGAGTGTTTATGTTTGAGTAAAAGTTACTCTAATTGTCCTCTTTTACTCTGTAGAATAAAAGAGGACAATTTGGGATTGTATTTTTGGTATTGATCGTAAGTTTTATTTTTTTAAAAGAACCTCGCGGTGTCATCATCAAAGTTTTCATCAGCGGGTACAAAGTTCTCGGGTCGGGTACGGGCACGAAAATGATACCCGTGCACATCTCTACTCTCGAGCTCATATATAAGAACTTACAGATATTTTGAGTTATTATATGTTTAACCAAGGGATTTTTGATTATTCATCAATTACTTTTTTAGTGCTCAAGTTATTTTTAGTTATGGCATAGTTGTTGTCGAACTAGCGATTGATCACCGACTATTGCTCTGAAAAAGGAATTGTGAGCGAAATGTGCAGTTTCTACATATTTTTGGACATACGACACGGATATCATATTCCAGCAGTCAGTCCAGCACATGGTGTATTGATGATAGATAGATGTATTGATTTCACACATGTTAACACACACCTACGGTTTTTTTTGTGTGTTGTTCATACCGCTATAGGATGCAACTTCTGCACAAACTTCTGCATAATTTTTGGACCCACATAAGGGTTGTATATTACCTTAACCGGCTGTAAAATGTATACGTAAGTGGAATATTAATATGAGTTTACCTTGATTGTACTATTCTATCTTTTGTCTATTTTTCACGCCTGACGTATTTTAACCTACGACGTTTTGGTTACATCAAACCTTGAGCGAAAGAATAAAACAAGCAAAAAACAAGGGCTGCTCAGTGACTCCTCACCATCCATCATAAAACGTGACTTAGAAATTTAACAGTAAAACAGTTTCTTGTTCTCGTCTGTTACTGACAAATTGGTAAAAAAGCTATTTTTAAAATTTAGAAAAACTAAAAACTTTTAACTACGTACAATGACTGAATCAACCAATCTTGCTGAGACTGAAAAGAAAATATTCAGTTTAATTAAAAGTATTAAATTTGCTATGTTAACGACGACTGATACCGACGGCAAGTGTTAACTTTATCAAAAATACCGTTGTTTACTTACAGAAATTTTCTTATTATTTTCTCTTTTAGGTGTACTTCGTTCATGTCCAATGATTAATAGACAAACCGATCAGTTTAATAATGAATTGTGGTTTTTCACCAAAAGAAATAGCCCACAAACTAAAGAAATTGAGAAATCCGCTCAAGTAAATATCTCATATTCAGATCCAAGTCATTCAAGTTATGTATCTGTCTCGGGTACAGGTGAATTAATTGATGACAAAGCAAAAGCTAAACAAATTTGGTCAGATGAAATGAAAGCTTGGTTTCCAATGGGAGTAGATGATCCAGACTTAATATTACTGAGAGTAACACTAGGAAGTGCAGAATATTGGGTGAGTATCAACAGTTATTATGAGCAGATGTAGACGGAATTGATTGTGTTATCACTTTCTATTCCACTCCTATCGTCTAATCATCACTGAGGATCATATTATTTGAATAATTTTTATTTATTTATTATACAGGAGGGTCCAAATACAAAAATTGGACAATTGTATGGAATGGCAAAAGGAGCAATAACCGGTGAGCGTCATTCATCAACGGCAACACACGGAAAGTTAAATGATGTCAAACATAATTAATATAAAAACTTATTTTATAGTATTTTACTTATAGTTTTCTAAGTTCATTTATTATTATACTAGCACTATTTTACTTTTCAATAAAAACATCAGATATTCGAAATCCAATAATTTTTCTGTGCGAATATAATCCTGTTATTATAAAATCTGTAATGTTAAGGATACTCACATGTTGACTACCGAGAATGAATGTCATATTATTTACTGAGGATACAATAGAAATAATATTAAGTAACAATCTAGATTTTGCCATCTTAGTCTTAGAAGGGATGATGAGACGTTAATGGATTAAAAGCATATAATCTGACATTAAATTGTACACATTATTACTTATCTATGTTCAAAATACGACTTTGACGTTCAAGACTTTATTCTTCAGAAATAAAAGAACTCATGTACTTTAAAAGAAAAAGTGTATGAGATTACTGACACTCATGTCAAAAACATAAAACTAATAATTCCGTACAATAAAAGAAAAATGTCTTTGAAAACGATTGATATTAAAAAATGTATATATTCAAAACTTAATTTTGGATAGCATCTATCTTTTTTAATCTTTTTTCTAATTCTCCTGATTTTTCTAAGGCTTCAGTATCATCTCCTCCACCAATACATTCACCGGCAAGAAATACTCGTGGAACCGTGGCAGCATTGGTCATTTTACCTAATACGTCTTGATACAAATCACCATTATCTATTTCATCTAATTCAATCACTTTATAATTTTTGAATTTATATTTTGATAATACTTTCTTTGCTACAACAAAATAAAATTAATTCTTTTTAATTACAATTTCATATCTGTAGATGAATCTTAAGCTAAATAAAATATATTACCTTTTGTACAGTAGGGACAAGTTGTTCTTGAAAATACCATAACCGTATTGTCTTTGATTAATTTTTCAACCTGATCTTTAACAGCGGATGATTTGTCAGCCATCTGAATTAATTAACAAAATATGTTTATAATTTATTTAAAATTTGAAATCTTTGATATCTAAAACAAGAAAAGATGATGTGTTTTCTATTTTCTCAATATGACACTGACAGAATGAATTTTTAGTAGTAAATATAAATAGTCTATTATGTTTTAAATTACATTATTGTTATAGAAATGAATAAAGGCATTTTTCTGACTCCAATTCAGTCTAAATTGTTGTTTTGCATCATGCTCTTTCTAGTAGTTTCTATTCTGTAAGGTACAAAATTCTTTAGTACTTTTTTCTTTTTTCTTTCTACATTTGTTTTTCTTTTCCTCTAAACAAATATTGACAGACACAGATTATAGAAACAGATCGTACAGAACAGCGACATGCGTGTGCATGCATACAACTGGATGATAGTCACGAAGTCAGTTTTATATGGTGTTATTGATGATTCAACAAAAATTTGGAGGAATGAATAAATCTGAATTTTTATGTAAAAGGATAATAGAACGAAACGTGTCGATGAATGTGAGAATTATTTCAACAAAGGGTGTCATATAATCTTACCTCACATAAAAGAAATAGTTTTATCTTTGATATCTTGAGTTTCTGACTAGATTTTTTTTTGCAGTAGCTAAATTATATCGCGTTATTTTTATCTCGTATTCTTCTTACTATTAAAATAACTTTGATGTATGTACTTTCAATAAATAATTGCATATTATTATAGTTGAGATGCTCTTTGACTGTGAGTGTGGATGTGTCTAGTTTTCCTGTCACTTATGCAAATGGCTGTTGAAAATATTTGTATGCCTTTAGGAAATGTTAATCGCAGTTCGGCTTATGAGATTGTTGTTGTAGACATTAATTCTAGTAGACGTTACGAGATATTCTGAGGTCGTATTTATATCGATTCATTTCTGTTTTCGTTGATGTTTTTTTGTATGAATAGTTCAGCCTATAAGCAGATATAATACAACAAATTCCCACTGCTCGGCGAACGATACTCAAAATCCAGAACTTTTCTCTGATAAACATATTTATTGTTCTTCTTCAAACAAACCTGTTGATGTCACCATTGATACCTGATCAATTTCGATATCCTTAACATTTAAAATATATATTCTGAATAAAGTTAAAAATTATTTGCATTTAAACCTTTTAGACAATTTTATACGTTTAGAACTACACATCATTCATTTGCTTTGCAAAATCCAGCATCCTACATTTCTATCAGTTTAAACGATTTACCTTTTTACAAAAAAAGACAATATAATAACATTTCTGTCAGCTACAAGTATATACAGGAAAAAAACGAAATTAAAATTTGTAGTACTGATCCCATAGTAAAAAAAAGAAAGATACACTTTCTTCGTTTGTAAAATTATAATTTTATGGTATCCTTTGTCTACGGCATTGAGAAATTGTGTAGGAAAATTAATATTCGCACATATTTGAGTATTACACTACTTAATCATTTTCTTGAGCATAAGATATGATCATAAAATTTGACTTACACAGTGTTACTTTGATAGATGATGATATCGACATAATTCATATAGATAGTAACGTAAAAACAAGAAAGAAGTGACTGAGTCTGGCACTCATTAATCCGGTTGTGACCGGTCTCGTCGATATGCTAGAAATGGGAGCTAATGTATTAATAATAAGAGATGTGATGCCCTAGTCGTAGAAATATTGGCCAATTTTTCCAAGTAGTTACTGAGTATTCAGCAATCAATCAAGTATACGTTCATCAATGTTCTTCGTGAAAGCAAGATGACCTCTCACTTTACAAAAGCCAAGTTCCACCCTGTTCTCGCCTTTGAAAACGAAGAAAACCATTTTGCTTCTTGAAATTGCTATGATGAATGGATTGTCACAATGAATCTATTGTTTTATTGTTTTATTTCGTTATTGTATAATATGTTTTGCTTTGGCTGTTGCGGACCAGATGTCTGCTACACTTATTTTCAAGAAAAAGAAAACACGTGATTTTTCCTTTGTTTTACTCGTACTACAAGAACCATTCACTAGTATAGTAGAAACATAATCGTACGACTGATAATGTTGCTGAAATTTGGAAGACATCTAATGAAAAGTATGACAGTGATTTTCGTTGTTTCCTTTTAGCTCGAAATAGCAGCTCCAACAAAAGACCATCTACGTCAATTCGCATTGATCCTGGCTTCTTGGAGCTAAACGGAAGTAATTGTTTTCTAAGACCCTGTCTTACGGTTGATGGCAAAAGGCAGATTTTTTTTGTCTGATGAGACGTGGGTCTCAGTCTGTGCATGTACACGTATCAAGAAATTGGTCTTGGGAGGATGAGTCAAGTCATCTCAGGTAGGTGCATGAATACAGAGTGACTATCACATTAAGTCGATGGAACAATAGATAGTAGTGACACAATAGATGGTTTTTTGTCACGATTTTTATACGACCAATCAGTTTCAGATCTACAAAAAAGTAAATCTGCATTTTAGGTCATGGGAAGCTAAAATCACTTATAATTTTACAGTACCATGGACGATTTTCAACCAATCAGAAACAGTCCATGATTGCATGTTGCATGTTTGAATTTCCATTGAGAGAAGTTACTGTGTATCTGAACGCTGGTCGACGTTCTTGTGGGTATTCTTGTAACATTCTTGTTTCTTGGTTTTTCAGACAAGAATCTTGTAAAATATTTTATGTTTATTTTTATCACAAGAATCTTACAGGAAATCGAGCTCTTGTGAATTCAGACAAGAATCCGTCTCGCAAATCTTGTATGAACTTACAACAAAGCGATTTCCTGCAAGATTCTTGTGATAAAAATAAACATAAAATATTTTACAAGATTCTTGTCTGAACAACCAAGAAACAAGAATCTTACAAGAATACCCACAAGAACGTCGATCAGTGAATATGTAATATATATTTAATACAACTGCACGTGTCTGGTCGTTCGTTTCTATCGAAAGAAGAAAAAAAAGACAAGTAAACAGAACGAAGAAAACGTTGTTCTGTTTCGTTTTCTCTATAAAAAGAATGTTGTTCGGATATTACGTAGTTACAGAGAGGGGGATATTAAAGCCGAGATGGAAAGAGAAATTTTCTGTATATTTAAATATGCCAGATAGAAACATAATAAGCTGCAGTACACACTATCGTCATCTGTAGTATAGTTTTAAAAATATCGTTTTCAGCCGAAATATAACTAGATTTTTATTCTAAAACATATTTTTAACTTTAAAAGCTCTTTAAAGCTATTTTGACGTAGAGGCTCAAGTTATAAAATGCTCAATGGTGAAAAAGTGATTTTAGAACGAAGTGATTTTAGCTTCCCATGACCTGCATTTTACCACCACTCTTTTCTTTTCTGACTTTTAACCAATCGTTTGCGTTGGCTTTTATAGGCTTCTTAATAAACTAATTAGAAACTACTTTCAAACATCTATGACGATACATTTTTTTCTATTATGAAAATAAATCACTTTCATCATAGGTTTTGCAAAACTTATAC